GTTATACAAATTTGAGCTATTTTAATACCTCCAGAAGTAGCATATAGGAAATAACAAAGAGCATAATTCAAAAGGCAAGAGAAGTTGCAGTATGCTCCTGGATGAGCAATAAAGAGCTCTCAATATGATAGTTATGCAGGACTATTTTCACTTTCATTCAGACGGTTTTGCCAGCTTATGATTGAGGTTTTAATTTCCTGTATAGCACTTTGAATCTGCTTCATGTGTTCTATTTCTTTCCTGTATTGCTCATTCAAGGATTCCATCATTTTTCTATTCTCTTATTTTTTATTGGTGTCTTTTTTAGACTCACTTAGTACTTCTTTCATTATAGTTATCATTTTTTTTTAACTTTAGAAATTATTTCTGATCTGATTTCCTCTATACCTTTCTGCAGTTGTTTCTTTACTTCCGACACTATTATTTCAGAGATTTCAGGTGTGTGATTTCCAATTTCTTCTATGCTATTGTCTCCTACATTTGTTCTGGGTGGGCTCGGGCCCTGAGAATGCATTTTGCTCCTTCTCTTTGTCATTTTGCATAGCACTGTCTTACCTTAGCACCAGGTCCAATCTACCAAGTTCAAACTTGTCCAGGTGGGTATGGCTTAGATCTGGCTGCTGTGCTCCACTTCTTCCTGCTGCAGCCCTTGGAGGTAAACCCTCTGTGCCAGTCTGGCAAGATATTCTGCTCCTGGTTCAGCTGGGTGGGTCGGTCTTGCCTCTAGCCTCTCTGCAGGGAGGTCTGCTGCAGGGTTCCACACTGGGCCTGTACGCTGGGCCTGGGCTCTGGGTTGAATGTGGATCCATCAGGGGTCTTGGTCAGTCTCACATGCCAAGCCTGGATTGAATGAGGACCCTGCAGGCCCTGGGCAGTCTCACTCACATGCTGGGTTGACTTTTTTTGATTTCTGTAACTATTTGTTTTTCTCATTGCTAAGTTACTGTCTTTTAGCTATCTTGATTCTGGATCCCTGAGAGGCTGTATTTTGGTCTTGGTCTTTACCATTTTCAATCACCCCTTTGTAGATTGTTTTGGTCACTTTGGTGACTGTCTTAGTTTCTTTTTTTTTTGTTGTTGTTGTTGCCTGCTCAGCCTATTCTGGGGGGCAGGGCTGGTGTGGCATGTGGTGCTGGGGATGGAAGCTGGGTCTCTAGGCTTGCCTAAGCATGTGCTTTAGACAACTGAGCTATCTTGCTGGCCCCAAATTACTTTTCTTTTATTGCTGAGACAAAATACTGGACACCCAAAATTAAAGAAAAGTTTAAGCTCACATATTTACTATAGCGGTTTCAGTCCATATTAGCTGGCTTCTAGGCAGGATGGTGTGGCACAGGGGCAACTGTTTAAGGTGGCAGAAGACAGCAAAGCAATAAGAGCACAAGATGGTTGTGGAGGAGGAAGAGCAAGCCTCTTTTTCTTCCCTTGTATTGTAACCAGGATCCTTCCCCCACCCCCTGCCCCCCGGTGTGGGTGACACAGCATCCACGTGCCTTCGTCTTGCACAGGCTCAGGATATTTACTAAGTGAGGCCTCTAGCCCCTGATGAATCCCTTAAACTTCTAAACTTCTCAAGATAATATGCAGTATATATGTAATGTATGCATATATATGATATATGCCCATGCCTGTGTATGTGTAAACACATGCATATATCCAAATATCTATATCATTGAAATCTTAGTAGAAATACCATAAGACTAGTCTAAATAGGATATGTTAACATCTTTTGCAGTATACTTGTTACGTCAAAAGTATGCCATGGCTGGACAATGGTGGCTTATGCCTGTGATTTCAGTATTCTGAGAGACTAAAGCAGGAGGGTGGCCAGTTCAAACCCACCTTGGGTGTGTTGTGAAACAGTTCAGTGTGAAAGCCCTGTCTTCAATGCTAAGCACTGCAAAAATTAGGGGAAGATGGCTGCTTTTGGTTCGTAGTTGGACTCTTTGAGACCAGCAAGTGCACCACTCTTTCCAGGTTCTTCTGGGACTCAATAAACCCGTCAGCAGTCTCTTATTTTGCCACAACTTGGCCAGTACTTTCAGCCACCACTCAATTTCATTTATACTGTATGCACATGTGCCACCATTTTTAAAAGTTATCTCCTGCTTTATTTTGGTTCTTTGTTATTCTCCATCAAGATTGTATTCTGTCAAACTCTTGTTCATCTTTGAAGGCTCATTTCAAATACTCTTTTATGAGCCTGTCACTCATGCATTCAATCTGGAAGGAAACACTTTCTCTCTGTTGTGTTTCTGTAATACTTTAATCCCATTTTATTTTATTTTTTTTTATTGAGAAATAAATATGAATGAGACAGTTTCACAGCTGATTAATAGGACAGTTTTTTTTTGCGGAACCGGGGATTGAACTCAGGCCCTTTCGCTTGCCAGGGAAGTGCTTATTCCACTGAGCCATCTCCCCGGCCCAATAGGACAGTTTTGATAGTCAATACACTGTACATTGTTATCTTCTTAGTGGTTATCCATAGTATAAGAAGCAGATAGGATGGGCTGGTGAGATGGCTCAGTGGTCTAAAGCAACTACTTAGAACAAGCTTAACAAAGCACAGGGACCGCAGTTCAATCCCCCAGCACCACATGCCAGCCAGCCCCGCCCCCTGGTGGGCTGAGCTGGCCACACACACACACACACACACACACACGAATAAATAAATAAAAATTAAAAAAAAAAGACCAAGATATAGCAAGACCTATATAACAAGAAATGTAACTTTTGTATCTGATAAGGTCAGCCAAGTATTCTCAGGATTTATCCTGTAGCCCTGTACCACCTTTTGTACATCCTTTTGTCAGTGCCTGACATGAGGATGAGTCATGGCCTTTAATCCCATTTTAATAACAACCATATTTTTTGTCCTGTACTAATAAATTTTGTGTTTTTTTATTCTGTATTGGGAATCAAACTGACTACCTCGCACTTCACACTTGCCAAATAGGCACTGTGCCACTGAGCTATGTAGCCAGCCTTTTAAAAATATTTTATGTTCTTACTACTTTGTTATCTAGGCATCTGAATTCCATTTAATACCATTAAAAGAAATAGAATTAGTCTGAGGTATAATAGTGGGTCCTTATTTTCTCTTCTATAGATTCCATGCAATGGAAAAGCAGCTGACCGCATCCATCAGGATGGAATCCACATCCTAGTGAATATGAATGGTTATACAAAGGGTGCTCGAAATGAGCTCTTTGCTCTCAGGCCAGCTCCCATTCAGGTAAAAGAATAAGTAACCATCATTTGTGATATATTTTGGACTAAAAAGAGTATGTATCCCCCCCCTTTCCTCTGGCCAACTGATACTCAAACAGTAAAAAATATAGTTCTTGTCAGGCATGGTGGCAAGCCTGTTGTCCCACCACTTGGGAGGCTGATTCTGGAGGATGGCCACATGTTCTAGGTCAGTCTGAGCTACATAGACCTTGTTTCAAAAAGTTCTTGAAGTGCTCAGGGATGAAGAATTTTGAGTATAGAACCCAGTTCCTATGGGTATTACTTATACAGAGACATGCAGTTTCTGTGCCTCAAAAATTTGAAAAAAGTTTTCGTATTTAGAAGGTTAGCCTAAAATATTCCTTGAGGGCCATGTGTAGTGGTGCATATCTGTAATCTTGTACTTCTAAGACTTAGGCAGTATGATTGCCAGAAGTTTGAGGCCATTCTGGGTTAGATAGTTGAAGACCAGCCAGTAAATCAAAAAGGAAAGTAAAATATTATTTGATGGTTCTTGTCTAAAGAAGTTAACCTGGGACTGGGGAGATGGCTCAGTAGAATAAGCACTTGCCTGGCAAGCACAAGGTCCTGACTTCAATCCCTGGTACCACCAAAAAAAAAAAAAAAAAAGATGAAATTAAAAAAAAAGACGTTAACCTTGTTTATATTTTTGTTTAATTTTGAAATCTTAAAGTACTTTATTGAGGTGTGATGATTGATATTCCAAAAGCTATACAGGGGCTGGGGATGCAGCTCAGCACTGCAGCACAGTACCTGCTTGGCAAGTATAAGGTCCTGAGTTTGATTTCTGGTGGAGAAAAAAAAAAAAAGGATACATGTATGTTATGCACAGTTTGGTGAATTTAGAGATGGAAGGTCTTAATCAGGTTTTGATTTTTTTTTTTAAAGGCAATGTGGCTGGGATACCCAGGGACTAGTGGTGCACTTTTTATGGATTATATCATCACTGATCAGGAAACTTCACCAGCTGAAGTTGCTGAGCAGTATTCTGAGAAACTGGCTTATATGCCCCACACTTTCTTTATTGGTGATCATGCTAATATGTTCCCTCACCTAAAGGTAGGTAGAAGATGGTGCTATGGAGGAATTTCAAAGAAGTAGTCATTTGTTTCCTTCTTTTTGTCCATGTGCATCCTAAAAGATATGTCTGGAACTGTTTTTCTGTTAGAAAAAAGCAGTCATTGATTTTAAGTCCAATGGGCACATTTATGATAATCGGATAGTTCTGAATGGCATCGATCTCAAAGCATTTCTTGATAGTCTACCAGATGTGAAAATTGTTAAGGTTAGTACTTAGCCAGTATTTTTCATTAAAGTTTACTGTATTTGGAATCTTTTTCCTAGTGATGCATTCCATGTTTTATTTTTTCCCAGATGAAATGTCCTGATGGAGGAGACAATGCAGATAGCAGTAACACAGCTCTTAATATGCCTGTCATTCCCATGAATACTATTGCAGAAGCAGTTATTGAAATGATTAACAGGGGACAGATTCAGATAACAATTAATGGATTCAGTATTAGCAATGGACTGGCCACTACACAGGTGAGAGTTGGAGTGTAGACCATAATACCATAATTGCCATACTATGTAATACCAGCCATGCATTTATTTTCTTTAATCCTCATGATAACTCTTGAGGTAAGCATCATTGTCCTTACTTTATAGATGAAGAAATACTTATGGTGGGCTGGGGAGATGGCTCAGTAGAATAAGCGCTTCCCTGGCAAGCGCAAGGGTCTGAGTTCAATCCCCGGTTCCGCAAAAAAAAAAAAAAAAAAGAAATACTTAGGGAAACACTTTTGTCTATTTGGAAGAGTCCTTGAATTCAGCTCAGCAGGTTACTCAGAGTTTACCATGTTACTGTCTTGTTTTTTTTTATTTGTGGCTTTACTCTTGCCATATGGTGGACTATCTGTAGGCACCATACAATTTCTTGCTTCTGTAAACTCATACTTCCCAGCTAAATCCTACTCAAGACTTTCAATTTAGATCTCCAGGAATTCATTCCTGTGCTAACCTCTATTCTCCACCCCAGCTCCATCAATACCTGTCCTTATGCTTCTGTAGTATTTGGGTTTTATTATCATGTTTAGTATAATCCAGTATAATTCCCTGTGTTTGTATCCTTCAGTGAATGGAATTCTTCATGGCTCATGTCTTAAGTCAATGTAATGTGTACTCAATATATATTGGATGCTTGAATAAATGACTAAGTAGCTGTGCTGGGAGTGTAAGACAAGGATCCCAATCCTCAAGGGAGTTAATAAATAGCTTTGTTTGGAAAGTCCATATTCACCCAACAATGTAAGAGAGTACTCAGATATGTGGGATTTGCATGATAAAACTATAGTTATGTGTGTAGAAACTCAGAAATGGTGATGGTCAAAAGAGCTTTTAGAGAAGAGACAATTTAAAGGAGTAATTGTAATTTGACCTTGAAGGATAGGCATGATTTAGAAAAGAACATTTAGTTTATGAAGAAAATAGTAAAAGCTTGGTAACAGGGTTTTGAGAACTTTTTGATTATAGCAATACATCTCATGTGTGCAAATTAATGTACAGGGTGTTTGGTGTGGTGGTGCATGCACACTTGTAATGCCTGCACTCTGGAAGGCTGAGGCAGGAGACACAAAAGTTAAAGCTCAGCATGGGCAGTTTAGTGACTTAGCAGGACCCTGTCTGAAAATGAAGTTTTAAAAGTGCTGAGGATGTGGCTTAGTGTGATGGTGCTGGGTTTAATCCCTGGTATTGTCCCCAAAAAGCTAGAACTATTTTCCTTTAAAAAAAAATTGTATCACAAATATTTTCTCATTATAGTTCAGGGGCATGATTTTCACTGGTTGTACCTTTTTTTTTTTTGGTGGAACCAGGGATTGAACTCAGGCCCTTGCACTTGCCAGGCAAGTGCTTATTCTACTGAACCATCTCCCTGGATCCAGTTATACCATTTTGCATCTTATGAATTCTATAATAAATCGAACTTGGGACCTTGGATGGCCAAATAGGCACTTACATCGTTAAGCTATATCCCCAGCCCTTTATAAAATTATTATTTTTTATATATTTTATTTTATTTCTTACGTATTTGGTACAGGGTCTCACTGCACAGCTCCTACTCATAGTGGTCTTCTTGTTTTCAGCCTTCCCAGCACTGGGATTACAGGTGTACCCCATCATGCCCAGTCTCAGTTGCTGTCTCAGTGCACCTGGGGGCGGGGTTGGCATGGCATTGTGGTGCCTGGGATTGAACCTCAGTCTCTGCACTTGCCTAAGCAGGCGCTTAGTCTGCTGAGCTATCTCACTGGTCCTGTAAAATTATTTATTTATTGATGCTGGGGATTGAACTCAGGACCTTGCACTTGCCAGGCAGGTGTTTATGCCACTGAGCTATCTCCCTGGTCCTCTATCATGACTAAAAAGTATTGGACTAGCCGCATAGCACTTGCCTGGGAAGCACGAGGTCCTGAGTTCGATTTTTGCCCCCGCCCCCATAAGTGTTGGACTGGGCTGAGGATGTAACTCAATGGTAGTGTTTGCCTGCCTTGTGTGAGGTCATGAGTTTGAACCCAAGCATTGCAAAAAAAGAAATACTGGATAATCTTAACTTTAAATAACATTCATCATATTCTCTCTTTTTTCCCCCATATTCTCCTTGTTCTAGATCAACAACAAAGCTGCCACTGGAGAGGAGGTTCCTCGTACCATTATTGTAACCACCCGTTCTCAGTATGGTTTACCAGAAGATGCCATTGTGTACTGTAACTTCAATCAGTTGTATAAAATTGACCCATCTACTTTGCAGATGTGGGCAAATGTGAGTATGTGTAAATTCACTGTTAACATCTAGAGACTAGGGGCCAGGGAGATGGCTCAGTGGAATAAGCGCTTCCCCGGCAAGTGCAAGGGCCTGAGTTCGATCCCTGGTTCCACCAAAAAAAAAAAAAAAACCATCTAGAGACTAGTAAAGATTTTATATGTAGGCTGTTCTGTTGAAACTGTCCCTTTTTAGTCTTTTCATTGTGTTCTTTTGTCGGGGGAATGTATGTTTTGTTCATTTCTAATCTATAAAAGGATTATAGATTTTTCAGTTTTTTTTTCTTTCAGTGTCTTTTTTTTTTTTCCTTTTTGGTGCTGAGGATTGAATCCAGGGCTTTCCTTATGCTAGACAAGTGCTGTCATTGAGCTACGCCTCCAGCCATTTTCTTCCAATATCTAAATTTTACATTATGAACTTTTTTACTTAACTAATAACTGTGTTGTTTCTCAATCAGATATCAGTAAGCTTGTTCTTTGTGGATGGATTTTTGTTTATAAGACAGGGTCTTGCTGTGTAGTCCAGGCTGACCTTAAACTTGTGTGTATCCTCCTGCCTCAGCCTCCCAAATTCTGGGATTACAGGGTTGCACCATCATGCCTGGCAGCAGATTTGTTATTAAAGGATCAGATGATAGATGCTTTTTGGTTTTGTGGGCCATGTTCTTTTCCACATTTCCTCAACTCTGCTGTTGTAGCTCAAAACACTCTATACATTTTGTAAATGAATGTTGCTCTGTTCCTCTATCATTTTATTTGCAATAACTGTTAGCATGCGAGATTTGTCTTGGGCTCTAGTTTATTTTTTATTTTTTATTATTTTTGGGGGGCTCTAGTTTAAACTGATAGTAAAAGTCCCATACATCTACCCTTGTTTAAAATTCTCTCAGTATTAGAGAGTCAAAACCAAGAAGGAAGCAATTTATATTATTCTCACTTATGAGACCAGTTTGCACAAGCAGGATATTGGATATCTATAACTAGCTTGTAGCCCATAGAACTAAAATGAAATATTGTTACCTTTTGGTAATTTGGAGATAATTCATTGGTTGGTTCCCCCTCCCCCCCCCGCCCCACCCCCATAAGTGTTCTGGAGACAGTCTTGCTGTGTAGTTCAGACTGGCCTTGAGCTCACTATGTAGTCCCGGCTGTAAGCCTCAAACTCTTGGTGGTCCTCTTGCCTCAGTCTTTTGAGTTCTGGGATTACAGGTATGTGCCACCTCTCCTGATAACCTATTTTATTTATTTTAGAGGAGAGAAGAGGAAGCAAATGAGAGGAGATCACCTGTTCCTTAATGTCCTCCTTTCCCAGTGTTCAGTATTGTTTTCTAGCCAGGCATGGTGGTGCAGGCCATTAATCCCAACACTGGGAAGGCTGAGGCAGGACAGTCATTTGAGACCAGCCTGGGATACAAAGTGAGCTCAAGGCCAGCCTGAGCTGCATCAAAAAAAGACACCCCCCCAAAAAAAAGTTTTGTTTTTTGACTTAATTTTTTTATTAGTACATGTTTGTAGTATATAGTGATTACATTCATCATGCTTCAAAACATGACATGTACATAAAGCGTTTTAGTAAAAGGCTAAAGATTTATATGACCTGAAGAGAAACCAGAGTGTAAAAAGCATTTCAATTCTTTTTACTTCCCCTTCCCTTTCCCTTCCTCTGCTTCTTCCCTCTCTAAAAACTGAGTTGGTGCACACAAGTAGTTCTAACTACTCAGGCGGCTGAGGCACAAATGTAAGCCTGGGAGGGTTATTTTATTTTTATTTTTTTTTGTGGAACCAGGAATTGAACTCAGGCCCTTGCGCTTGCCAGGGAAGCGCTTATTCTACTGAGCCATCTCCCCGGCCCCTAAGCCTGGGAGTTTGAAACCATCCCAGGCAACATAGCAAGATCTCAACAAAACTTAAAAGTAAAATCTTCTCTAAGTTGGCGGCAGATTTATTTGGCAGCAGAAGTACCTGAACTGACATCAGACTGTATTTATTTTGAATATTTTTACATCTTTTTTTTTTTTTTTTTTTGGTGGAACCGGGGATTGAACTCAGATCCTTGCACTTGCTAGGGAAGTGCTTATTCCACTGAGCCATCTCCCCGGCCCCTATTTTTACATCTTGATGCAAGGATACTAATGTTTGTTTAAAGAGTTTCTGCCAACATTGTTAACATATGCCCATTGTACTACCTTTTAAAAAATGTGAAATATCCTCAATTTTGAAATTCATATATATTCTCATAGCATTCAGAGAAGGGATATTTAATTTTTTTGGCACATTGAATAGATAGAGATTTGATTTAGGAGTTGGAAACATGGCCTGTGGTACAAACCTAGTCCACTATTTGTTTTTATAAATAAAATTGTATTGAGACACAATTGTACCTAATTGTTTGTATGTTTTCAATGGCTTCCTTTAAGCTACAAAGGAATTGAGCAGTTCTGACAGAATCCTTTGACCACAAAACCACAAATACTTACTTTCTGCCCCTTTACAGAAATCTGCTTGCTTATGTTCTAGATTAAGCAAATAAGGAAATATGAATTAAGTTTTTTGTTGTGACTTTTTAAAAAAAAATTGAAATACCACGTGTGGTGGCAGGTATTACCTGTCTTTTTTTTTCCCACCTGTCTTAATGGGAGAGTGAGAAAAAGGAGGCTCTCTAGATCCTTGATGTTCAGGGCCAGCCTGGGCAACATACTGAAACCCTGCCTCAAAAAGCAAGTCTATAAATGTGGACTGGAAAATTTGTCTCTTTATTGGTATACACGGACTACATTAATTCCCATAAAATATAGCTGCCTCATGTTGTGCCAGTTAAGAGCTTATCTCGTGTCTTCCAGTAACATTTTCCTTGTTCCTGATATTGTCTGAGGACAGGTAAGCAGCAGTGGAATAGTTTTGTTGATAATTCATCTGTGTGAAGAAGAACTGAGGCTCACAGTAGGCTTCTTTCTGGGTAGAAAGAATAGAGTGCAGTAGAATTATTAGAGACCTGCAGGAAACTTTGTTGTGAAGAACAGATATGCTACTAATAATTCTTATTTTTTCTTTAGATTTTGAAACGTGTTCCCAATAGTGTGCTCTGGCTGTTGCGTTTTCCAGCAGTAGGAGAGCCCAATATTCAACAGTATGCACAAAACATGGGCCTGCCCCAGAACCGTATCATTTTTTCACCTGTTGCTCCTAAAGAGGAGCATGTCAGGAGAGGCCAGCTGGCTGATGTCTGCCTGGACACTCCACTCTGTAATGGGCACACTACGGGAATGGATGTCCTCTGGGCAGGAACACCAATGGTGACTATGCCAGGTAAGTTGGTGATGAATAATCGGTACCTTTCTTGTTTAAAAAACAAAAATCTCAGCTGGGTTTGGTTGGGTGCATTGCCTGTAATCCCAGCACTAGTGAGACTAAGGCAGGAGAATCGTTGCAAGTTCAAGACCAGCCTGGGCTACAAGGTGAGCCCAAGGCTAGCCTGAACTGCATAGCAAGACCCTGTCTCAAAAAAAAAAAAAAAAAAAAAAAAAAAAACCCAAACCAAAACCAAACAAAAACACCTGAAATCTTTTGAGGGTGGTACTTAGAGCTGAAATATACGCTACTAGATCTAACACTTCAGCTGATAGAAAATGAGACTTAATCAAATCTGAAATCTGAACATTTGTTCTCATCTGTGTTGTGTGGCTGCTTAACATAATGTTGAAAACCATGTTATTTACATTCTCAAATGTGTAGTTGTTATCTTTTATATTACAGGAGAGACCCTTGCTTCTCGAGTTGCAGCTTCTCAGCTCACTTGCTTAGGTTGTCTTGAGCTTATTGCAAAAAATAGACAAGAATATGAAGACATAGCTGTGAAACTGGGAACTGATTTAGAATAGTAAGTAAACTTTCCATGAACAAAATAATATTAGAATATAGTTGCTCTAAAATCAAACCATAAATTTAGAGTGTTATAAAATAGCTAATATAAAGTAGATGGGAGATCTATAAATGGGAGAACTGATTCTTAGTGAAGTAATCACGAAGTTTTACTGTGTAAAGAATAAATAGCTGAGTAAATTCAAGAAAATTAAAAGACAACAGGGAAAGAATCTTTGTTTCATGTCAAGGTATTAATGGCTTGAAGAACACAAATTTTAAATTACCTCATAGGAAAGTAAAAATGAAAAGACAGTTCGCTGACGTAGAAGTTAGAAATGATTAACAAGAAAAAGTTTCAGCTTCTCTAATAGAAATGCCAATTAATATTGAGGAATACCCATTATTTGCTTATGAGATAAAGATTTTTGGGGCTGGGGATATAAGCTCAGTGGCATAAGTGCCTGCCTTGCAGGAACAAGGTCCTGACTTCAATTCCCAGTACCTAAATAAATCAATAAAGTTTTTTAATATGTCAATGAGGGAACATTGAGGCACTGCTCCTTTCATACATTGGTGAATAAGTGGGTAAAACCCTTAAAAGTTTTCAGAATCTTAAAGTAGTGTGAGATCTTTAACCTTTATACTGCCAGTTCTTCGTTGCAAAATAAAACATCCAAACATGTAAGTGCCTGAAAATGGTTTGGAATTATAGGAGTAATGTTGAGGTAAATGAAGGTTCATCCATACAATGAAATAATATTTATCTTCTCCCTACTCTCTCCCAATGGGGACTAAACCTAGCACCTTCACACTGAGCTAATCTGCAACCATAACACTTGTTTTGATAAAGTCTTGCTAAATTGCCCAGACTGGGCTAAACCTGAAATCCTCCTGTCTCAGCCTTCCAGGGTGCTGAGTCATGCCCCACCATTCCTGGGTAGTTTTATTCCCTTTTGAGACAGGATCTTGCTATGCAGTTCAGGCTAGCCTTGGACTCATTGTAGTCCAGGCTGGCTTCGAACTCACAGCCATCCTCCTGCCTTGGCCTTCCACGTGTTGATATTACAGGCGTGTGCCACCTCACCTGGTTTAATATTTATCTTTTAAATGAGATTTTTCTTTGGTGTGTGTGTGTGTGTGTGTGTGTGTGTGTGTGTGTGTTTAAAGAAGTAGCATGTAGAAGCTGGAGAAGCACACTGAATCCAAGCTCCATCATTGACAAGCTTTGTGCTTTTGTGTAAGATTACATGTATGTGCTTTGTGTGCCTGCTTGCAAAATGGAGCTTAATGGTGGTGGTGTTGTAGAGATGGGAGGATTAGAAAAGGTACTTCATGTGATGTTCTTGGTACATCATACATAAGCATTTGACGTGTGTTAGCAACTTAGTATTTTCAGAATTTTCTCTATTGAACATAGAAAAGTGAAAATTTTGATCCTAGACATTAAAAACTTTAATGATGTCTGTCAGCCCAGGGATGAAAACATTAAGCAATATAATCTATTTTAAATTTTTACTAGATGTTTGGCACTTAGTTTAATTCATCTAGTACTTAACATTTTATGCAAAATTTCAATTTCATAATAAAACAACTTTCATATCTACTGCTTAGAGGCAGTTACTATTACTGAGACTGTAATGACTGTAATTACTAAGATTAATGTCAGTAGTAGGTTCTGTTGCTAACATTTTACTGTACTTGCTATGTTACATGTTTGTCTTTATTCCTCTTTCCAGCAAGCAGTCCATCTAACTAGATAAATTTTGTCATTGTTTCAGAGGTTCTTGTTGTGTAGTCCAGGCTGGCCTTGAACTTACTCTGTAGCCCAGGCTGGCCTCATACTTATGATTTTCCTACCTCAGCTTCCTAGATTTGGTATTATAGGTGTGTGCCACCACACCTTGCATTATATGATAATTTTTTTTTCATTTATGTATTTGGTACAGGGTTTCACTACAAGCTCAGACTTGTAGTAATTCTCCTGTTTCAGCCTCCCCAGTGCTGGGATTACAGGTATGCGCCACCATGCCCGGACTGGTTGCTGGCTCAGCACACCCTGCAGGCAGGGCTGGCATGGCGTGCGGGACTAGGGATTGAATCCTGGTCCCTGTGCTTGCCAAAGCAGGCACTTAGTCCACTGAACTATCTCGCCGGCCCTTAAATTTTGAAATAAATGGCAGACATCAGTATACTTTTCCTTAAATACTTAGCAATATTATTAATTAGAATTTAAGGGGCCGGAGGAGATGGCTCAGTGGAATAAGTGCTTCCCTGGCAAACATAAGGGCCTGAGTTCAATCCCTGGTTTGGTGGTGGGGGGGGGATTAGAATTCAGGGCTACTTTTTTTCTGAGGCCGAATTGATTATACAGTGAAACAAAAACCTTAATCATTCAGTGAGCTTTGAGATGTAGCCTTTGTAACCCAAATCCCTGTCAAGATACAGAAAGATACCAGCAAGTTCTTTCATGTTGCTTCTCCATTCATCCCCTTTGTGAATTCCCAGAGACAACTACTGTTGTTTTTTTTTTTTTTCACGGAACTGGGGATTAAACTCAGGCCCTTGCACTTGCCAGGGAAGCGTTTATTCTACTGAGCCATCTCCCCGGCCCTACAAATACTGTTCTGAGCCTCTTTTTTTTTTGGCAGAATTTTACTGTGCAGCTCAGGCTGGCTTTGCACCCACCTCGTAGCCCAAGCTGGCCTGGAACTCACAGCAATCATCATCCTGCCTTAGCCTCCTAAGAGCTGGGATGACAGGCGTGTGCCACCATATGGCATATACTATAATAGACTATTCATATGGAAAATTCCTTTTTACTGCTGAATAGTATTTCATTGTATGGATGTATTATAGTTTATCAGTTCTGTTGACATAGAAGTTTTTTTTTTTTTAAATTACATAGCACATGGTCTTCTTTGGAAAGTACTATTACTGTGAACATGATTGACTTGAGACCAGAAGAAATATACAAGCCATTTTTCTAGTCCTGCCACAGCCAATATTAAAGCAAATTCTTAATCATTACTTTCAGAAATGAACAGGACTTTTCTGTCTTTTGATTCTGAAGTAATAATTCTTTAATATATTAAGTAGTGCAGCAAGAAAGAGACACCCCTATTTCTGAACAGAGCCATAGTCTTGGTGTAACTAGGAATGGTTTTATTATATATCTAAAGGTCTCAGTTTAGTACTAGTAGAAAATTACAGCACTAGACATACTATATTTCTTTTCCCCTTAAGTATTTTTTGTTCCATTAAAATCTTTTAATGTTTGGTGGTACATGCCCGTGATCCCAGCACTTGAGAGGCTGAGGCAGGAGGATTATGAATTTAAGGCTAGCCTGAGCTACATAGCAAGATCTTAAAAAAAGTAAATTGAATAATTCATATATCTGAACTGTTGTAGATGATGCTTCAGTGAACATCTTTACATGTTCATATGTTCATGTATATCTGGGTCTCTGATAATTTCTTTCAAATTGAAAAGTACTATTGATAGATTGGAAAATTAAGAACTTTTAAGGTTATTAATGTTTATATTGCTAAATTGCTTACCTTGTAAGCAGTTTGCATTCTAACATAAGTATGTAGGAAGAGTCATGTACCATTGGCAATTTTTGACTTTACTGTAGTGGTAGAAAAGGGATGAAATGGAAAGAGCATTGCTGCTCTTTAGATTACTTGTTTAGGAAAGAACTAAAGTTTTTCAGAGAATGTGGATTTATAATACTTAATAGTAGTACCATTATGTTCTGACCCTTCCCTTTTCAACATCAGGTAATGGGTTAGTCAGGGAAGAAAATATTGTGAACTTTGGTCTTGTATTTTGCCTCAAAGGTGACTAGGTATAGAGCCAGGGAGATAGCTCAGTGGCTTAAATGCCTGCCTGGCAAGTGCAAGGTCCAGAGTTTAATCCCAGTACCGGGGCTGGGGGAAAGACTAGGTATAATAGAATCTAGTTCTGAGTTTCTGGTCTGATTTGTAAATTTGGTTCTCTTTTTTATTATCCAGCCTAAAGAAAATACGTGGCAAAGTCTGGAAGCAGAGAATATCTAGCCCTCTGTTCAACACCAAACAATATACAATGGAACTAGAGCGGCTCTATCTGCAGATGTGGGAGCATTATGCAGCTGGCAACAAACCTGACCACATGATTAAGCCTGTTGAAGTCACTGAGTCAGCCTAATAAAGACTGTGTACAGGAGAATTACCCCTATACCTGAGCCTCAACCTCCTGGGGAAAGGGAACTAGATAACATACTTTTTACTTATCTGTACAGTGCCATGTTGCAGATGGGTGATACATAATGGTAATAGAATAGCACAGCCAGACTTGCTTCCTACATAGTAGGGAGAAACACAAGAGATGGAAAAATGCTGTTCCACAAGGAATCTCCAGAGTTTTGCATCATCCAGGTCTGGAAGGTCTGATCTCCCTCGGTCTTCCATGGGATGGTTAGTGTGGAGGGGAGATAAAAGTTGTCCAGCCCTTGTGATTCCATGGATTGATTGAGTCTTCTGAATTAGTACCCCCTTTATATTTTGGGTTTGGGAGATTTTAAAAATATGTGGTTTCAGGTATTTTTTTATCATCATGTGAAATCTTTTTGATTATCTTGAGGATAAGGTTTTAAGCTAAAATGTTGCTCCCTGTTTTAGTTTCTAAACTGACAGGTTAAGGAGGACTTTGCTGGTGTAGTCTTTTTATAGGTTTTATAAACCACTTGAGCCTATATCAGTCATTTTAGGGTTTGATCTGATGTTTGAAACTATTTGCTTTTTTGGTTTAGATAATGACTCAAGATTTTTTCTTGTCTATTTCCTATTTCCTTCTCTCCTCCACTTCACCCTCTTTAAAAATTCTCCTGTAACTAAGCTAACAAAACCATGTCTGACTCAAAACATCCCAGAGTGTTTCTTTTAAACACATCATCTGGTGCCAAATGAAAAATTTTAGGAATGATTTACTAATTATGAAGGGCACAGTTGTGGTACTGTCATTAATTAATATAGGGTTTTGTTTATTTGCTTAATTATGACCTGTTTCACCAGTGTTTTACCCTTGACTGCCTCTTTTATGCTGCTTCCACAAATGATAGTGTGTGATAAGATTTTTACCTTCCTTTCTAAAGTTGTTTTTTTTTTAAAGTGAGTCCTGTTCTTCCTATTTCTTTCAGCAGAAATGAAATCCCAGGTAAGTATAAGTTCAAATATTTGATCAGTAAGTTGCAGTTATCTTTACTACATCAGGTAACATTCATTGAAAAATGTGTTGTAGGTAATATCACTGAAGGACCATCTATGTATAAAACTAATTCTTTGCAGACTTTGTTAGGCTATTATATAATAGCTGTCTTCTGGACTTGAAGTCCATATGAATTCAGCCTCATTTATAGTGAAATGCACTGTTACTTGGTATGGAGTACAAATTAAGCTTTATATAGCCCTCTTGAAGCTTCAGTTCTTGGTATCAAAAATCATAGGAATGAAATTACCAAATTTCACAAAGGGTCAGGGGCTTGAGGTTTAAGCCAACATATGAAAATATGTTTGTCTTGCTGTACCGCACTTATGATATCAAGTCACAGATAACTTTTTGTTTGCTAGTAGTGTTCTAGATAATGTCTTTCCAAAGCTCTGAGGCAGTGAACCTATTCTGTAGTTGGAGCTGTTGCCTGAATGTATCCTGGCTGACAAATTATTGAATTATATGAAGAACTTGAATTTCTGAAAGCTTCTTACTGCTAACCAAAATCTGAGTAGAGTCTTAAGTGTAATTCTGCTTCAGAATTACATGTTTGTGAACTGTGTGTACCTTTTAGCAATGTAAATCAAGGGACATCAGTTAAAGGATTTCTCAGTTATTTTTTATCTGATTGAGCTATCAGTTAAGGTTGCTAGCATGGTTGCCGATAAACTGATATAAAGTTCACTGAGCTGCTCATTGTGAAATAGGATACTATACTTCCAATGCCCTCAAGACTGTAGCCTTACAGCTGTTTGACATAGCACATCATTCCTCCTATAGGGATGAACTTCCTGGCACGAACAGTAGCCGCTCTGGTTGAAGCTTTGCTTATTGTAATAGGCTTTTATTCCCAGGTAATTTCTCTGTGGAAGACCTAATTCTGAATAGAGATATAGACATTACTGGAAACTAATTTTTTTTTCTATTATACTCTGCTTTATCAAAAAAAAGTAAAACATTTAAATTGTGCTACAGGAATTCAGTTGTTGTCTTGCAATCTTTAAACAATAAATGAATGATTTCCCCTTAATATGGCTGATGTATTTTATGTGCTGTTCTCATGAATGCTGGACAGAATAATGGGGTCATCCCTTGGTGAAACCTACATTTGAACAGCTTCAAAGAAACAGGACAGATTTTCCTACTGCAGCTGTAATACTAAGAATTATTTTTGTTTATTCAGCCAAGTCTGACGGAAGACTGGGATTGGTATGTAATCCTTGAAGAAGATAAAATGGTGGGGAGATAGCTTGACAGTCTAAGTGCCTACCTGGTAAATGCAAAGACCGGGTCCCCCTCCCTCCATGGTGGTGCACACCTGTAATCCTAGTGCCGGGAAAGTTGAGGCAGGAGGATCACTATGAGTCTGAGCTTTGTAGCGAGGGCCTGTACCAAGTCTATAAATAAAAGATTTTAAAAAATTAAGACAGCTGAGTTTTGTAGTGCATGTACTCAGGAGACTGAGGCAAAAGTATCACTGGAAGTTTGAGGTCATCTTGGGCTACCTAGTGAGTTCAAATTCAGCCTGAAGTGCATAGAGAATCTTGTCTCAGGAAAAGAAAAAGGAAGATTAAAAAAAAGCCTCTGACCCCTAAAAAAATTCATGTTTGTTCCTCTTTTGGTTACTGTGGCCTCATTTATTGTTGAGGCCTCGTTCTTTTTTTTTTTGGGAACCAGGGATTGAACTCAGGCCCTTGAGCTTGCCAGGGAAGCGCTTATTCCACTGAGCCATCTCCCTGGCCCCTAGGCCTCATTCTTTATGTGGACTTTTTTTTTGGCATTTTGAAGCACTTATTTTTCTTGCTGACTTGTGAAGTGGTTAGACTCAGCCACTACGGAGAGGAATATTTCATTTTATTAGGACTCTTGAATAGGCTATTTGGCTACCATTGTTCTCAGAGATGAGAGGGAGATAGATATTTGTTCTCAATAGAATTTCAGGTGGTTTACTTTCCAGCTTGTCTTCATTGTGCTTAAAGCTCTAAAGTGGATTAGTGTTGGTTTCTTTTTTATTTATTTATTTATTTATTTATTTATTTATTTGTGTGTGTGTGTGTGTGTGTGGCCAGCTCAGCCCACCAGGGGGCGGGGCTGGCTGGCATGTGGTGCTGGGGGATTGAACCGTGGTCGCTTGTTCTAAGTAGGTGCTTTAGACCTCTGAGCCATCTCACCAGCCCAAGTGTTGGTTTCTTGAAACAGTGTAGGAAGAAGGGTGTAGAGTGTAGCGCATCATGAATTTTTACTTCTGCCCTTTTTTTTTTTCCTATCTACTTCAGCTTCTTTAGTCTAAAGGACTTGTTGGATCGCTTTGAATAAACTTATAACGTATAACCTCTGAACTGCCTTTTATTTTATTTTTTTGGTGGAACCGGGGTTTTGAACTCAGGCCCTTGTGCTTGCCAGGCAAGCGCTTATTCTACTGAGCCATCCCCCCGGCCCCATGCCTTTTATTTTTTGAGATATTTGGAATTGAACCCTGGATCTTCATACTGAGATACATCCCTGGTACTTTTACTTTTATTTGTGACAGGGTCTTGCTTTAACTCAGGGTGACCTCGAACTTCAGATTCTCATATGTTAGCCTCCTAGAGTGATGGGATTGCAGGCATACACCACCATGCTAGGCATAAAACACTTTAAAGTTTTTATCCTAGTCTTAACCTGCTCTTGTTTGAGGCATATGTGTCTTTTTTAAAAATGTGTTTTGTACAGGGTCTCACCATGCAGCTCTGACTCAGTGATCCTCCTGTTTTCAGCCTCCGCAGCGCTGGGATTACGGCATGAACCACCACACCTGGTCTTGTGGCCTGCTCAGAGCTGGGGCGGGGAGTGCTGTGCTGGCTGGTGTGGCACATGGTGCTGGGGATTGAACAACCCAACCCTGCCCCCCACCTCCCTGCTTTTTTTTTGTGGAACCAGGGATTGAACTCAGGCCCTTGCGCTTGCCAGGGAAGTGATTATTCCATTGAGCCATCCCCTCAGCCCCCCCCACCCCTGCTTTTGCCTAAGCAGGTGTGTGTTCCACTGAATTCTCTTGCCAGCCCTTGAAGCATATGTATTTTTATAGCTAACATTTAGGGTCCTTGCCCAAACCTCCAGGGAATTTTATGAAGGAGGCTTATACAATAAGGAGGTGGCTTCATTTGCAAGTTGGTTATTAGTAATAATGAACAGCTCTTTTATCTAGCACCCTATCAACTTAGAGTACCTTTACACTTAGAAACAGTTTGGTGTGTGAGGAGTTTTGCAGTTAACCCTATTGGAGTTTGAATCTCAGGTCTGACACTTTCTGGTCATTTGATCTCAAAATGAGCACTAAGGTAGCTCCTTTTTTACTTGGGTACAGGTATTGCTATGTTGCCCAGGCCTAAGCATCCAAAGTGGCTGGATCATACCCTGTTTGTTGCCTACTTCTTGAAATATCATTAAAAATATAAACAAATCTACATAAAACATTTGGAACAATGCTTACCACAGAAAATGATCAAATACAGGGATGATTTATTTGTATTGTGTTAGCCAAATGCTTAAAATTATGAAATATGTGTCTGATGGGGAAAAGGGTACAGTGTAAAAATTTTTTTTAATTTTTCTTGGCCGGCTCAGACCACCCTTGAGGGCAGGTCTGGCACGGCATGTGGTGCCAGGTGTTGAGCTCCAACCCCTGCGCCTGCCTAAGCTTGCATAAGCTGGTGCTTTAGGCCACTGAGCTATCTCATCTCCCCCCCCCCAAACCATTTCTTCCATTTGTTTTTCTTGGTGTTTGGAGTAAGTATGAAAATACTTAAAAAGTAAAAAAACTTTTTATTTCTAGAGTTCTGATGGTTCTGGAAATGAATTTCCTAATTCAGTGCTCCTACATCATATTGGGTTATTGTCTTGCTCTTATCTAGGAGTGAGAATGGCCTTTTTCCTGCTAGCTAAAAGTTAAAGGCATTTCCAGGGCAGACACGATTAGCAGTTTGGGGGACTCAAGTAGGGAACAAGCCTCACTTATTCAAGTTCTTACAAGCATAAAACTTACTTTCTTTCTTTCTTTCTTTCTTTCTTTCTTTCTTTCTTTCTTTCTTTCTTTCTTTCTTTCTTTCTTTCTTTCTTTCTTTCTTTATTTTGCGGTACCGGGGATTGAATTTAGGGCCCTGTACTTGCCAGGCAGGCACTTATTCCACTGAACTATCTCCCCGGCCCTAGCATAAAACTTTAAAGGAGGACTCAGCTTGGCCTTAGATACTTTTAATTTTTTGAGATAGGGTGTCCTATACTATTCAGACTGGCTTGCTTGCTTTATTTTTGGTACTGGGACTCAAACTCGGGACCTTGTGCTTGCTAGCAGGCGCTGTGCCACTGAGTTGTATCGCTGGCCTCAGCTTTTTTTTTTTTTTACTCAAAAAGACAATTTAGAGGCCATTCACAGAATCGGGCTTCATTCTGTGAGGTCTGTGGAAATGGCGTCGTGTGACATTCTGTCAGAGTAATAATCCCCCCCCCCGCCCTCTTCCGGAAGTAGTGTGACTAGGTGTGGAAATTTTGCTTCACACCTTTTCATAGGTTAAAAGAGAAGTTGTTATTGTGAGCTCTGTTTGGATTGGTCGGTCCAGGGAAGGCGGGGCCACGTCACTTGGGAGCCACACCCCCTTTGTTTACGTTTCTATAAAAGGTCGTGGCTAGTCAGGTTCACCTCAGTCTCGGGTTGCCTGCCTTTCTGGGAGGTTGTACTTGCTGGTCCTCAGCACCTGAGGTAGTGGGTGCTCGAGGTCGAGGTCGCGGCCGAGGCCGAGGCCAAGTCCGCGGCCGAGGCCGAGGCCAAGTCCGCGGCCGAGGCCGAGTCCCTGGCCGGGGTGGAGTCGGTGGTCGGGGTGGGGGGTGGAGTCCGTTGCCGAGGTCGAGTCACCGCCAGAGGTCGTCGAGTCGCCACCAGAGGTCGAGTCGCCGCAGCGGAGCCATGTCAGGTAAGTGACTAGTGGCTTTAGATGAATATTAGTTTGTCAGGTTTAAGTAAAATGACCATACACAACCTCAGACTTTCGTAAATCTTGGGACAAATATTTAACGTATTTTCCGTTGCCCAACCCAAGATAAAATGACAGTATTGGGATATTTTTGGTTTTGTGGTGCCAGGGTTCAGACTCTGGACCTTGTGCTTGCCAGGTAGGCGCTTATGCCGCTGAGCTATCTCCCTGGCTGGTTTTGGTTTTTTAATTGTATTGACTTAGGGTATTTCTGAGACAGGGTCTCGCCAAATAGTATTGGCTAGCCTGTAACTCGCTTCTGTAGCCCAGACTGACCTTCAGTTCTCTCAGAGAGATACTTGCTAGAGCCTCCCGGAGTGCAAGATTACAGGCGTGTGCTACCATGTCCAGCTGGTTTTGGTTTTAAAAACGATACCTGGTATGACATACATGGTGAATGGTGAGGGTAGAGAACCTGGTGGGGGTATAGTGGAGCGTGTGTGGATAGAGGGGCAGTTTTCGACCAGGACCTTGAGGCCAGTATAGGGGATGAGAGCTTGGGTGGGTACTCGTGTGGCGACTGAAGAAACACCTGCTGGTGAGGTAGGGTGGAAGTATCAAAGTGGAGGCCTGGGGAACGATGGGTGTGGTCGGTGCCGAATCCCCAGAGGACCGGCTTGCGAGTTGAGGTAAAAGTTCGGTGAAATTCCGTGTTATTTCTAATTTTTTCTTTTTTGTGGCTGGCTCAGCCTGCCCTGGGGGCGGGGCTGGCGTGGTGTGTGCTAGGAATTGAACTGCTAACTAAGCAAGTACTTGAGACCACTGGCCCTCTAAATTTTTTCTTTTATATTACTATCCTATTTTTTTTTTCCGGAACTGGGAATTGAACTCATGCCCTTGTGCTTGCTAGGGAAGCACTTATTCCACTGAGCCATCCCCCCGGCCCCTCTATATTATCTTTTTTTAAAAAGTTTGTTTATTTATATATTTATTTTGTGTGTGTGGCCAGCTCAGCCCACCAGGGGGCGGGGCTGGCTGGCATGTGGTGGTGGGGGATTGAACCGCGGTCCCTGTGCTTTGCTTAGC